CCTCCTCCTCCTCTCTCTCTCTCTCTCTCTCTCTCTCTCTCTCTCTCTCTCTCGTCCAAGCCAACAAGGACAGCCCATAAATGGTCTCCTTGATTCTGTCACCTTGTGTCACTCCAACAAGTTTATATAAGAGGAGCAGTAGAGCTTCTTCCGCTCTGCAGCACCGCAGCCCATTACACCTCCTCTTCTTTGACATGGAGCCTGCGTGGGATGAGAAGAGCAGGGTGGAGAAGTCACAGGACGATGAGGAGAAGTGGGTGTGTGACTCCTCTGTGGATCACAAAGGAAGGGTTCCTCGCAGAGCCTCCACTGGATGTTGGAAGGCATCCCTGTTCATCATAGGTAGCAAAGGGCTTGTTCTTGTCTCCATGTTGCTACAATCTTGATGATGAATGACCATGGCTTGTCTCTGACAGCGATTGAGTTCGGTGAGAGGCTGTGCTACTTCGGACTGGCCACAAATCTCATCATCTACCTCACCAGGGTGCTGCACCAGGAACTGAAGACGGCGGCCAAGAACGTCAATTACTGGAGCGGCGTCACCTCGATGATGCCCCTCGTTGGTGGATTCGTGGCCGATGCGTACTTGGGCAGATTCTCCACCGTTCTCCTCTCCACCCTCATCTACATCGGGGTACACCTGCTCGCTCGCTGCCATCCATACCTTCTTCTCATCTTCTTTGACATCATGTGCTTGGTGGCATTTGATCGCTGCAGGGTCTCGGCCTGTTAACCATGTCGCAGACGGTCCCGCGGCTGAAGCCATGCGACGCGAGCGGCGCCTGCGGCCGATCACTGCGACTCCACAAGGTCATCTTCTTCGTGGCCATGTACCTGATCTCGGGGGGCACCGGCGGCCACAAGCCGTCGCTCGAGAGCTTCGGCGCCGACCAGTTCGACGACAACCACGCGGAGGAGCGGAAGCAGAAGATGTCCTACTTCAACTGGTGGAGCTTCGCCCTCTGCAGCGGGCTGACGCTGGGGGTCACCGTCGTCGTCTACGTCCAGGACGCCGTCAGCTGGTGGCTGGCCGACGTCGTGCTCACCGCCGTCATGTGTTTCTGCTTCGTGGTCTTCCTGGCGGGCAGGCCGTTCTACCGCTACCGAGCGCCGGAGGGCAGCCCATTCACGCCCATGCTGCAGGTTGTGGTGGCGGCCATGGCCAAAAGACACCTTCCTCTCCCTTCGGATGCTGCAGAACTCTACGAGGTTCCCAAAACGCTACCGCTGCAGAGCGATAAGAGGCTCCTCTGTCACACTAGCAAACTAAGGTACTCAATTCAGATCCCTGTGATGCCAATGGAACTCACTGCCGACTATATGAAGCAAACACACCCTCATTTGTCTCAGATTTCTCGACAAAGCTGCCATCGTCGAGCACAAGGATGATGAGGAAGCCTTCGCCACGGAGAAGCTGAACCCATGGCGACTAGCGACGGTGACCCAAGTGGAGGAGCTGAAGCTAATACTGGCCATGGTGCCCATATGGCTAACCGCGCTACCCTTAGGCATCTGCATCAGCCAAACCGCCACCTTCTTCATCAAGCAAGCGAGCACCATGAACAGATCATTGGGCGGCAGCTTCGAGATCCCGGCCGCCTCGGTCTACGCCTTCAGCGCCATCGCCATGATCATCTCCGTCACCTTCTACGACACGATCCTGGAGCCCTCCCTGAGAAGAGCCACCGGGAGGGAGCGGGGCATCAGCATCCTCAAGAGGATCGGAATCGGCTTTGCGTTCTCCGTCGCCGCAATGGTCTCCGCCGCCCTGGTGGAAAGGAAGAGACTGCGTGTGGCGGAAGCGGAGCAAAGCAGCGTCATCTCCATGAGCGTCTTCTGGTTGGTGCCACAGTTCATGATCATGGGGTTCGGTGATGGGTTCGCACTGGTGGGCATGCAGGAGTACTTCTACGATCAAGTCCCCGACGGCATGAGGAGCTTAGGGATCGGCTTCTACCTCAGCGTCTTCGGGGTGTCCAACTTCCTCAGCAGTCTCTTGATCACGGTGGTGGATCACATCACCTCCAGGGGAGAGAAGGGGAGTTGGTTCGCCAAGGACTTGATCAGGAGCCGCTTGGACTGCTACTACTGGTTGATTTCCGCCATGAGTGCGGTGAATCTGTGTGGCTACGTCTACATCGCGACGCGGTATTCGTACAAGAGAGTGCAGAGGAAGGTGGGCGTCGTTAATTCCCCTGAAGCGGATGTCTAAATGAACCGTTCACAGTTTGCTACCGGACACGTTAAGTAATGCCATTAGATATAGAGGTAGTATGTGTGCTATGTTATTTTCATTGTGCAATACGACTTTCTACTCACTCGCACCACTGGCTTAGGGTTTGACATTGACGCAGATAGGGCCTTCGAGAAGCTGACTTTGATTCCATAGAAAGTTGATCATGATAGATTGGCCTTAAATGACTTTTTTGATTTATTGTCTGTACCCATGTAAAGTTCAAGCACTTGCAACTATGCCATTGTAATTAATCTGCATCATTAGCAATAATAACTTCCAAACTTAGATTGGCATTAATATCTCTTTAAATTATTAAGAAAACACAAAAAAGGACACGCATATATATTAGGTATATAAATTTTTAATAATTTTCAATTATATTGAGAAGTACAACTTTTGAAAGTTGATTCAATGGTTGTCAGCGAGTATCATATATAAAAGATTGAAGTATTTAGAGGTATATATGCTCGAAATTTAAATTCTTTAGGGAGGGAATCCAACGACTGTGAGTGCTTTGGACTCCATATCGTCTTCGTTCGCTTTAAATCTCCTCGCTCAGCCTCGCTTTCCATACAGAGTGTAAAGGTTCTACAGGTCATATCACATAAAGCATCAGCATATGGAGGCCTTTCGGTGTGCCTTTTACTAACTTGTGGTGACTGGACCATTCCAAAATTATTGATGTTTGATATAACTATTATGGCATCTGAGCTTTTCGCCATATGGAAATGCATTGTTGCTATCTAATTTTGTTTTTAGTAATTTCCTAAAAAATCATTTTTTTGAACTTTTCTGGAAACGGTCTCTCATTTCTAAAATAAAATTTCTAAACATATGACCCTTTCTTTTTTTTTTTCTTTTTTCTCTTTCTTTCTCAGACAACTGATCTAATTATTAATAATAGATAAGATTTTTTTAACTATACGAGGAAATCTTACGTATAAAATTTTTTTAATTATATAAGAAAATGATTAGTTGAGAGAAATCATTTCTTTTAATATGTATAAATAGATATTATATTCAACTAATTAAAATATAGGGTGAATTAGTGCAGCGGAAAACTTTTGTCAGTTAAAAAGACTTTCATATAGAAACCGTTTCGGAAAGAACTTTAACTTAAGAGCAAACGGAAGTATAGATGATGTAAAGCAACGGAGGCAGTTTGCAGTTAAGATAAAGAGCAAAATGTAAATGCAAACCGAGATTTAGAGTGGTTCGGTCAATCTTGGCATACATCCACTTTTGGCTTCCTCCTCCGATGAGGCCACCGACGTCCACTAGAGGCTTTCCTTTAATAGGTGAAGGCCAACCACCCTTTTACAGCTTTTCTCCTTTTAGACGAGCTTAGGAGACAACCCTTACTGATAGAAGATAAGATTTCCCCAACTTGGAGTAATTCTCTCATAGGTTTGGTCGCCTCTGGGATTGTACCGTCTTCTCCATCAATCCTGTCGCCTACTCCACTGAGTAGCAAAGGTACAGCACCGCGTACTGCCTGCTTCATTCCTTAGTTATGCACTCTTGCATGACCCGAAGTCCTTCACTTTCGGCTAACTTGATGAGAAGCTCATTGACACCGGTCTTACGAAGTTCCTCGGCCTCTGCCCTTCAGCCTTGTCTCGGTACTTGGAGATTGCCTCTGCATGCTCCACCTCCTCGGCCCCTTTCACGACCAAGCGCTCTCCCTCATGAGAGCAAGGGATCAATGACTTTCACGGAAGTCCCGCCTCTGCGGTACCATGGCGCTGCCATGCCCATGGCCCTACTATCTGTCGCCTCGCATCTGCATCCCTTTTCTTCACGATCAGTAGATATGTCTCTGTGGCACTCCTCTGAGTCCACCTCCATTCTAACTGATGCTTGATTTTGGGTAGCTAAGTCCCTCTGGACTCGTCGTCGCTTCCTCACCCCTTTCGACCCCCTGCTTCAACACCTCTGTGTTCTCCAAGCAGTCTGTTTGGTCGATGGAAAGACAGACTGCAACTCCCATGCATGGCCTCTGCCATCACGTTGTAGGGTTTGCACCAATTCTGTTCTCCTTAGCTTCCTTGGTAGCAACGTTCGCTTACCCGGCCTTGTCCTCTGACTTGCCGGGCTCTCTTAAGCGAATATGAGCTCTGGAGGAGTCCAACTCTCCAGCTGCTTCGATCATACCTCTGCATGATCAAGTTCCTCCCATGGAACTCGTTGGTACTTGCTATTCG